CAGCCACTCCGTGGAAGGAAGACTGGGCAATCTACTTCCGTAAAGATTTACCACCTCAGAAACCCAAAGAGGGTCAGTGTCAGTCGGAATTGACTCGAGTTTTTTTTTTTTAAAGAACCAACCAAAGGCCAAATATACTTAACTAATCTGAGTGTGTTTGATGCAGCCCTTCTTCTGAGGCCTTTAGAAAGTGCTTACAAGATTATCAACAAATATTTCTTACATCTGAGAATTTCTGCGTTCTTTCTTTTTACCTACCCTGGAGTTTTATGCACTTGCACCACTGGCCACTTCTAGCATGATGGTAGCAATCAGAGAAGAACCGCATACGACCGCTTTGGCACAGTGATTAACCTCTTACTCATCAGCCTGAAGAGTGGGCAACTCCAGCTCCCAGGTGTGTCCAGGGGAGTTAATGTGCAGGCAGGAACTCAGGCACTCACCAGTAGTTAGGTGGTCAGTCAGTGACTGTTAGTGCTGCGTGTGGCCCACTGAAAATCCGGGCTGTTTTCTTTAGCAGAAGTAAAAAGAATATTGTTTATTGCTCTGGCAGCGAAAGCTTTTTGATTAAGACTACGCATTGAGGATGTAACATTATAGGTTTGTGTATTAAAACGTTACCTCAATAAGGGCAGTGTTTTTCAATCCTCTTGTCATCCTTATGAACTAATTTATTTCATTCTTTACTATTGCTGATTTTGCATTGTTGGGAGATTTGGGTTTGCAGTTTTTGAAAGAATGATCAAGATATGGGATTTTTTTTTTACTTAGAAGTAGGCAGAGTTTTCTTAGGATGAAATAAAGTCACCATCAAAGAACAGAATTAGACTTTATCAACATATAAAAATCTCTGCTTAACAAAAGAAACTTTTAAGGAATGAATAGAGAAGCCAGGTTAGCATAAAATTGCCTGAAGCATTTATCTTATTAAATACTCCTATACACTGTATGGGAGCTCTGGTGGTATAGTGCCTAAGGCATTTGACTGCTAGCCAGATGGCTGGTGGTTCAAACCCACAACTCACTCCTTGGAAGGAAGACTGGGCAATCTACTTCCATAGAGGTGCTGCCTCAGAAATTCAAGGAGGGGTCGCTATGAGTCAGATCTGACTCAGTGGCAAGAACTGTAATGACTCAGTAAGAAGACATCTCAAATTTTAAATATCAAAATATTTGGATACTTTATATATATATATA